GGTTCAAGCCCTGGACCGGGTTTGTTCAGGACTGGGTCCACAACCGGGTCCAGGTCCAGGACCAGACGGGTCCAGGACTGGTCCAGAACCAGGTCTAGAACCGGTTTCAAAAGCTGGAGACGGGTCCAGGCCAAGGACCGGGTCCTGGATTGGATCCAGGACTGGTTTCAGAAGCAGGAGCCTGGTCCAGGACTGGACCAGGACAGGATCCAGGACCGGGCCCAAGTCCAGGACCAATTTCAGAAGCTGGATCCCGGTCCAGGACCGGGCCCAGGTCCAGGACCAGGACTGGTCCAAAACCAGGTCTAGGACCAGTTTCAGAAGCTGGAGATGGCCAAGGACCGGGTCCTGGATTGGTCCAGGACTGGATCCAGGACTGGTCCAGGACCGGGCCCAGGTCCAGGACCAGGACCAGTTTCAGAAGCTGGAGACGGGTCCAGGACTGTATCCAGTCTTAGACTGGGCGTTGGTCCAGTAGTGGGTCAAGATCCAGTCCTAGACCGGGTCCTGGACCGGGTTCTGGACCAGGTCCAGACTGGCCCGGGTCAGGGGGGCAGGACTTACGGGGATCTTGTTGGGGTGCTGCTCGCGGATCTGCTGGACCTCTTTGCAGCGGTCAGCTGTGGACAAAAACACTCGGTCAGTCAGAGGAAAAAAACACACACAACTACACACCCGCCGGTCTGGGGGGGCCGATCTAAATTAAAAATAAATCCAGATGGAGGCTGATCTCCAACATTAAACCCAGTCTCTGCTTCAACCATTGTGGTGTAAAAAACTGTAAATAATGCACATTTTAGTGGAAAAAGCTGTAAATATTAAACATTGTAGTGTAAAAAAAAAAGTAAATAATGCACATTTTAGTGTTAAAAAACAGTAAATAATGCAGATTTTTGTGTAAACCCAGACTGGACTTGCTGTGCTCCAAAGCATGTTGAAAGTCCATCTCATTATCTTAAGTTCAAACTACAGTAAACTACTGTAGAATAATATTACGGCTGTTGTTATTTTGTGTTTGTATGCTCCTATTCGTTTACAGTGGGGGGTCAAAGGTCACCGTTATTTGAGGGTTTTGGGAGCCCCTGATGTGGAGAAGAGGACTGGAACCCTTCAGGAGGAAGCCGGTTTCTGACTGGGAGCGTTTGCTTTTCTGGGGTCAAAGTTCACCGGGAGGCTGAAGGGCTGCTTTGTTTTTGGCTCTGTGGGATTTTTCAGAGCTTTAATGCAGAAATAAAAGAGCTTTAATGCTGCAGGTTCTCCTGCTCTCACAGCTCTGTGTGCGGGGAGGCCTGAAAAACCAGGAAGTCCTCAGCAGGAGCTCAAATCCAGGAAAATGAATCAGCAGGACTCTGTTTTTTGGGAGTTTGAGCCAAAAAGAGGATTTTTTTCTAACTCAAACTTTATTTTTAGGCCTCAAATTGAGTTTCTCTGTTAGTTTGAGGCCGTTTTTCTGCTTTAAACTGAGTTTGAGCCAGAAAGAGGTTGTTTTCCTGACTCAAACTGAGTTTTTATGCCTCAAATTGAGTTTCTCTGTGAGTTTGAGGCATTTTTTCTGCTTTAAACTAACTTTCTCTGTGAGTTTGAGCCAAAACTAGGCTTTTTTCTGCTTTAATGAGGGATAAAGTGGACTGGCCTCCCTTAGAGCTGCCTTAATCTTCCTGTCTGCAGAACGCTGGACTCCAGATAGTGTTTAATGACCTTAAACCTTCAGACTGAATCTCAGGTCATTCTGGTGTCTTTCCTCCTCGGTTTCCTCCATTTAATTAACAATAATGATGAGTTTATGTCTCAGATGGGTCTCTGGAGTGCTTATCAGGTCAAACTGGATCAGCCTATAGACTCAAACCTGTCGAAAAGGGCAGCTAGTAACATTTTAGCTATTAAATAGAAGCATTGACGGTCACTAATTACATCTGACACCATAGAAAATTAATCCTGCTTCAAGTAGGATTAAGTTTCCTGTTAGATTTTAACATTACTTTTAAATAAACGTGTCTTATTTCATTTACCTGCTGTCAAAAGGGTGCAAATAACCTTTAAATGAGAACTGGACGTAAAGTGGACAAATCTGCCTGCATTTCCGCATCTGACTCAGCAGAAAGTGGAAATCTGAGGCTCAAATGGAAAACTCAGCTGGTTTAAAAGGAGTCCAGCTGGACATCACCTCAGTTTTTTTGGTCTAAACAGTCAGAATATTCATGTTTTGTTGTTTTTGGGGGTTGTAAACCATCAGAATATTCATGTTTTGTTGTTTTTGGGGTTCTAAATCATCAGAATATTCATGTTTTTGTTGTTTTTTTGGGGTCTAAATCGTCTGAATATTCATGTTTTGTACTTTTTGGGGTCTAAACCATCAGAATATTCCGGTTTAAACGCGTCATATTTCATTTACCTGCTGTCAAAAGGGTGCAAACAACCTTTAAATGAGAATTGGACGTAAAGTGGACAAATCTGCTTGCATTTCCGCGTCTGAGTCTGCAGAAAGTGGAAATCTGAGGCTCAAATGGGAAACTCAGCTGGTTAAAAAGGGCATTTTGGTCCTTTTCCATCCTCTGAGCTGAGTCAGAGAGGCACCAGCTACGGACAGTGTCTCTGTCCAGTCCCAGATCAACCTCTGGTTATTGGGTTATTGGCCCTGGTTGGGGCCCTTTTGGCCTCCGTTTGGCCCCCGGGTTACGCAACGGGCTCCGGGCTCCTCCCTGGGCGTCACATTTCAGCATGAATCAGGCAACACGTGCACGGGGATAATGTGTCAGCACATGTTGTTTTTCTCTTTGCGTGCTGGCCAAGTTTGGCACGATAAACCGACCAAAACAACCGACCGACCAACCGGTCAGAAACTGGCCGGGAAAGAGGGCCTCGGCCCGGGTTACCCTTTAACCGCATCCACCGCGGGACGTTTCACGCACAAAAATAACTTTTATTTATCTATTCTAACCCTAACAACTGTCGTTAAGGCTCCGCGCATTGATTCATGTTGATTTAAAGCTACTAGGTGGTGTTTTTTAACCGGGTTTTAATCGGCTAAAATAAGCTAACAACGGCTAAAGCTAACACCGGACAACCGGACGAAAAGTAGCCGGCCAGAGGGGCCCATAGCCCGGATACCGCATCTACGATCCCCGGCCCCCCTCCGGAGCCCAACGGTCAGCGGCCCCTTCGCTACCCGCTCCCCGCTCCGGGGGCCCTGTAGGCCGGGTGTCTTACCGAAGGTCCTCCGCTGCTTGAAGGGTCTGTCGGACGGCATCTGTGGCCCGGTTTAGTGCGCAGTGAGGCGGCTGGAGAAGTTGGTTTTGGGGGTCCCCGGTTAGGCTCCGCGGACGGTTCTGAGGCTCAACGGCTCCGGACAAACAAAGGCAGCTAACCGGGGCGATGACGTCACCCGCTAGGTTTAAAGGGGCCGCGAGCAGTTTAGCCCCGCCCCCCTCTGAGACCAGGAGCATAACATCCGGCACGCTCGGTGGAACATCACAAACACACCCTGTTTTATCCAAACAAAATCACAACTTTAACAAAAAGATAAATAAAAAACTATTTCTGAAATATATATATAACTATAATAATTAAAATAAACAAATATTTTACTATCAATATATTAATGTTGAATAAATATTTATATAGTAAAATATATATTATTACAATAATAAAATACTTTATTATATATTTAATGTAATAATTATTACATATGTAATAATTTAATTAAATCAATGTTTGATTAATATGATTATAAATTATACATAATACATTCTAGTATTATATAATAATATATATTGTACATATATAGTATATATTATTATGATTATAAAATAATATTATATATCAATGTAATTAAGTCAATATAATTAACTTTTTTCTTTTTTTCTGTTGTAATGTGTACATTTCCCCATTGTGGGATCAATAAATAATAATGTATTAGGTATTATATTATTATTATAATACATATTTAGACAGCACAGACTGATTAACTCAATTAAAAATGAAAAAACAATCATTTTGAAGTTTTTTTATTTCTTAATTTGTTACAAATAAAGGTTGACATTGCGAGCAGACGAGTGTTTGTTGTGTAGGCCATGGCTCAACTTACACATGTTCTCATGACCAATAAATAACCCCAAATGTTCCCGAAACAAGGACCAAAACACACGTTTGGTCCATGTTTCCTGAACACCGAGCAGCAGCCTCTGGGCCCACTTTCTGCTTGTTGTGCAACACATAGAAACAGAGACAAACACCAACCTGGAATGCTAAAAGGAGGAGAAAAATCTGGAAAATCCCCCTCAGCCCCCCTCTTTCTGTTCTCCATACGCCATCCTACACCTTCACGCTACTCGAGAAGCTCAGCTGAACGGGATTGTTTCACTTTTCACTTTGAAATGCAACCCAAAAGAAAAGAACAAAAACATTTTGGCTATTTGAACAGGACAGGCGATGCAGAGTGGAGTCTTTGTTCAGCTTCCCTCCACTTTCAGACCGACGGGTTCTGGATGACGATCAGGAAGTAGTCCTTATCTGCAGAGAGCAAAGGAACACGCTTAAACCAGGATCAGGGACCTAAACCACATTCTCAGCCTCTAATGTGAGTTTTAAAAAAGCCGGTTTTCGTTCAGAATCACCAGGAGCTCCTCTGTGACACCCACATAAAAGTTTTTTTTATTCTCTTTAAAAATAATCTAAATATGATTAAATATAATTTAATTAAAAAATAATTTAAATATAATTTAATTAAAACATAATTTAAAAATAATTTAAAAATAATTTAAAAATAATTTCAATATTATTAAATATAATTTAATTTAAAAATAATTTAAATATTATCTAATTTCAAAATAATTTCAATATTATTAAATATAATTTAACAATTTAATTTAAAAATAATTTCAAAATAAACTTCCGTGCTTTAATGCCGATCTCCACTTTGAGCTGCACACACACAGCCTGAAACATCTGGCTCCAGATGTTCATCCACAGGGTTTAAGTCCACAATAAAGAGCAGGAGCTGAGAGGAGGCTGGTCAGTGGGTGTATTAGGAAGGATTTAATAGATTGTTGAATCCATACTCCAATCTGGAAGGCGGCAGGTAATGCACCAAAAGGTTGTTTGCCAACCGTCATAAAAAAAAAAAGAGAAGAAGAAGAGGCTGGTCAGAAGCGGGAATCCCACCTGGAGCGATCATGATCTCGTTCTTCTTGGAGCGCACGCGCAGGAAGGTGAGGTCGTTCTGCGGGTCGATGTCCCGCACCGTGCTGCGCGCCTTCATCACCAGCTGGTGGATCAGGGCGGCGTACTGCACCGTGCTGGAGTTGTCCAGGGTCGTCTTGATGGGGATTCCTGAGCACAAAACGCACACACATCCACAAACCGGGGTCTCCGTTACACACAAAACGCACCAGAAACTGGATTTAACCTCCTGAGACCCTGCGTCCTCATAAGAGGACATAGCATTTTTGCCTCTCTTTACCATGATACTTCTTTTTTCTTTCAACTTTGACCTCTTGGCCTCATAGCAGACGCTATCAGACACTCTAAAGTAAAATGGGTGCTATACATTTTCAACCAATAATGTTCTTATTGCGTAATTAAAAAATTGTTAATAAGTAATTTGGACTGTCAGAACAAAATTCCAATAACATTTAATTAGATACATAAACTAGCATTTTAAATATAAAGATAAACCCACTGAGCCTATACGAAGCACAACTACCTGTACCATGACAAATTTTAGTTATTAAACTTAGTAGGTTGTACTAATCCCATATATCTTTAAAAAAGCAAAAATGCACACCAATTAAAATCTGGGGTCTCAGGAGGTTAAAGCACCTCCCAGGAAGGCTGGTCCAGATGTGTTACAGTATTCCTCAAGATGACTTTTTCATCCCTTTTCATTTGTAGCATGGCTATTTTTTATTTCAACATAAGTAATATCATTCACAGGCAACAACATTGTTTCTTGAGAAACATTTCAAATAAAATCTACAGGAACAGACTCCGGATCTGTTTTAAAACCATAAACCATCAAATATATGAATCCAAGAATCTGTTAGCTAGATCCTAATGACATTGGTGGGCAGCAGAGCTCCTGTTTGTGTTGTTCTTAAATGTTTAAAGAGCTAAACTGAAGCTTAAAAGCTTTTTATTTCAACATAAGTAATATTATTCACAGGCAACAACATTCTTTCTTGAGAAAAATTTCAAATAAAATCTACAGGAAGAGACTCCGGATCTGTTTTAAAACCATAAACCACCAAATATATGAATCCAGGAATCTGTTAGCTAGATCCTGGTGACATTGGTGGGGAGCAGAGTTTCTGTTTGTGTTGTTCTTAAATGTTTAAAGAGCTAAACTGAAGCTTAAAAGCCGTCTGGAGGCGGTAAAAAGCAGGTTTTTACCTTCTGAATTGACCACAATGATGCCCTGAACGCCTTTCTGGCTCTGGATTCTCTTCAAAGTTTCCTCCACTTCAGCCTGAGAAACGATGCCAGAAAGCGTTAAATCCCTAAAACCAAAATATCTGAATGTCCATCCAACATTTAACTCGAACAGCTCTTCAAAGTCTTACAAATACTTGTTTTTAACCGTCAACGCCCGATTAGCATCTTAGCTAGCCACTTAGCAACGCATTAAATTCCGTCTGTTAAAGACGCCGTTTAAACATTTGACAGCAGAAATATAAACACATTTATCAATCACTTCTTTAAAAGGTGTTTTAGTATTACCATTATTATATTTAAGATTAAATATCCACGCTGGAAGTATTTTTTCTGCTCCACCGGAAGGCAGCTAAACAACAGTTTTGTTTCCAGGAGACGAAGAAGAAAACATCCGGGTCATCCGAGACAATGCGACGTTCGAAGTCCTGGAAATATGAACTTTTACAACTATTTATTTTTCCAAATATAAAAGTAACAATCAGTGACGAAATATCAAACGTGATAACAGATACAGTGATACCATCTTTAAATTAAAAATACATCAACAGACGTTTTTAAAGTGTGTTTGAATTAATTCAATTCAAATAATGCTTTTCTAAAGAAGACATCAATTTTAAGGCTTAAAACAAGGTGGATCTATGTGCCCCACAATTAACCGTTTCAGATCATAAACAGATGCTTAGTAAGTAAATAAACTGTTGTTTTTTCTGTGGAAATTATCATTATCCACAATGACTGGCTCTGTTTTTTAGAAATCTGGTCTGTCCGGGAACCTGCATTGTTCTGTTTGAGGTTCAACTCTTGGTTTTTCCAATTAGCACAGCTATTTTTTTTCTTATGAATAACTGTGGGAACATTACTTAATCTTTTGTCCTTGTTAATCATTTATAAGCACATTAAAAACTACCCACATTTCATTGACTGACAGTAACCCAGCCAAAATGCCAAAAATAACCCAGAACTCACAAAATTAGATCAAACACTTGCTTTCATCCATGAATACGACCATTTGAATTTGGAGCAAAAGTCTGAAGGAAGCCGTCAAACACTCAGTACATAGTTTGTCTTTATTTGTGAGCTATTTAAATGAATACAAGTTGTATTTTATTAATAAAAAAAACTCTACATTCTTAGATGTTTAATGAGACAATGTATCTGCATTACATAAACAGAAAAGTTGTACTTGTCAAACAGAGAAAAATAAAACAGTGGTTTATATCTAAAATATATTTTTCTTTCCCATCTAAAAATGAAACTGGTAGAAAATTGGGAAAAAACACTGAGATACAAAAAAGCTGCATATGTAAACGGAGACACCAGAACCTGGAGGAGGCCCTTGAGAAGTTTCTCTAAGGTGTGTTTAGTGTTTTCTTTTTCTTGTTCAAACCAACGAGCCTTTTTAGCCTTTAGATCCCATGAGCTTAACAGATTTACCTGCAGATTTTGCAGTTTAAGTCTGAGAGGCAACAGTTTTGAGCACAGAAAACTGCTCAGTTTCTTCACAAATCCCACAAAATAAAATCTGCTCTTGTCTTCTGTCTAAAACCAGCACAGAAAAATATGAAACGTCCAGTTTATGTCTGAAAAATACATCTAAAATAGAAAATAAGACACAGCAAAAACCTTAAATCTACCATTTGTTGCTACATTTGAAACTTCATGAAACAGGGGAAAAAAACTCTGAAAACCAACAAATAAAAAATAAAAAAAAGGTTTAAGCATTAAGAACATTTCATTATAGCCAGTTTTAAAGGTTTAGACTCCAACAAAGAGCAGCTTTAAAAAAAAGCTGTAAACACACGTCAGTTTGCAACCAAAAGACAAAAAAAAGGGGAAAAAACAGTCAGGAGCAGAAACATAAAATCAGTCAAAATTCCTCTAAATTCAGAGATCAGACAGGAAACGTGAGGCAGTGAAATGTGGCGTATTGAACCCTGAGTTTGTTTCAGATGGTGGGAATGATGATGAAGAGCTTTTTTTAAAATCCTGAGCGACTCTTTTAAGTCACTTTGTCTCGTAAATGTAAATGTAGCTACACTGTCATTATTCTTCCTGATCCCAGCTGGACGGTTTTAGCTTCATCTGAACTGAAAAAAGCTCCAAAAACTGAGCAGAAAACAACTTCAACATGATACAAACTCACTGGATTACAGCCCGGCTGGTTATAAAGGTAAAAAAAGACGTGAAATGTCTGAGGAACAACACAAACTGAACACAAACTATCACAAAAAGTGCTGGTCATTGTTTTTGTAATACAGTTTTCCGCCACTAGAGGGAGCCCAGCGGAGAACTCCAGTAAAAGTGATCCCAAGTTAAACCAAAAGGAGCCTGAAACTCGTTCAGAAATCAAATATCTGATCATTAGCCCGGCTAATGTCGGCCAGTTCTTCAGCTGTTTGAGGATAAAGGCTTATTTCCTGGTACCATGCACTAAAATCAGTTTTAACCATTGAAATTTGTGCGATTTTGGCAAAAAAATAAAGAATAAAAACATGCTAACTGAAGCAAACATCAGAAAAAATGTAAAAATCTGTACATTTGATCGAAATTTATAACGTTTCAGCATGTTTTTTATGTATAAGATGCAAAACATGAAAATTTTAAAGCGTTAAACACAATTTTCAATAAAAAAAAAATTCCCCTAATTTGTCACTGTCAAACAGAAACAGACAGGTAACTAATTTAACTGGGGGAGGCACTAAAGAAATAATATAAGTTTGATTTAGTGTCCCCATAAAAACTCATTAAGCTCCTTTTATGTTAGTTTTGATCATCAGATTGAGCGTCCCTGCCACCAGAGGGCAGCACATGGCGACAGTGGAGCGAAAAAATCCAAAAGTTCCACCAGTTTTCTCTTTGAGATCGAGCAAAAATGAGCCCTGAACCGAGTCTCCGAACCTTTAACACCTGCAGGGCTGCTGGATTATAGTTCCAGAAGTGAGATTGATTATTTAGAAATAACGGAGTAACGAGTCAAACATAGAAATAAGTAGATTTTTACATTACAAACACATTCAAACCCACTCTGATTAGATAAACTGTGTCAGGAGTGGAGAAATGTTGATATAAACCCTGTTTTACAGGATAATTTTTAGTTTAGTTTTAATTTTAGGAGACGATACGCTTTCTAGTAAATAAGTAAATACATTCAAATGTGGTTCTAATTTGATTATTAAAGAAGTGTGAGTTCAGCTTCTGTTTTCATGGCGTTTTACTTCTGATTTTTTCATCTTATTCTGATTTATTCATGCAAAATAGCAAAAAATTAATAAAAGTGCCCAATAATAATCGCCTGAATTTAAGTGAGTCTCCTTTAAAGGATTAAGCTGAACTCAGACTCATTAATTCTCCTGTTTTTTGTCCTGTTTTAACCCTAAACGGCAGGTTTTGGGGGTAATGAGAGCCCACAGCTCACAGCAGGGTGCAGGCGGAGGGGTATTTGGGGGTAAACACTTTGTTCTCGGTCCCAAACACAAAGAAGCTGTAGTCCTTTCCGTTGTATTCGTAATAGGCGTGAGTCAGGGGCACCAGTTCGATGCTCTGACGCTGTGGGGGGAAACAGAAGCATGTCCGGTCAGTCAAAAACCTTTCAAATGTGTCATTTAAGCCAGAAAATGGGCTGTTTCCCTTTAAATCCAGACTCAGTTTGAGCCCTGCTGCTCTCAGCCTGAAGATAACTCTGTTAGCTAACCCTGTTAGCATCGATCCAGCAGCTGAAACCTCCCAGAGTTACCACAGTGGGTCAGAACCTGAATACATGATAATAAGAGGACAAAAAAAGGACAAAGGGCCACAAATAGAGCTCAGAAGGCCAAAAACGGGGACGAAAAGACCAGAAATATTGAGCTAAAAAGGCTAAAAACAGAATGTAATCCTCCCACAGTGGGTCAGAACCTGAATAAAACCATGAATACAGAAGTAAAAGATCTAAAACTCGGTACCAAAAGGACAGAAAAAGCTGTTAAGTTCAATACTGGAGTTATACTGAGTGTTTCCAGACTCTGTCTGAACCTGCTGCTCTCAGCCTGAAGCTAACTCTGTTAGCTAACCCTGTTAGCATCGATCCAGCAACTGAAACCTCCCAGAGTTCCCACAGTGGGTCAGAACCTGAATGAAACCCCGAATATAGAAGTAAAAGATCTAAAACTAGATAATAAGAGGACAAAAAAAGGACAAAGGACCACAAATAGAGCTCAGAAGGCCAAAAACGGGGACGAAAAGACCAGAAATATTGAGCGAAAAAGGCTAAAAACAGAATGTAATCCTCCCACAGTGGGTCAGAACCTGAATGAAACCCTGAATATAGAAGTAAAAGATCTAAAACTAGATAATAAGAGGACAAAAAAATGATTTTCCTTCATCTAAAGACCAAAACAGAAGATTTATAATGATTTTCCTTCATCTAAAGATATAAAAAGCTAATTTTGAATGATTTTCCTTCATCTAAACATCTAAAAAGCTGATTTCTCTGTGATTTTCTGCAGAATTCCCCACTCAGATGATCCTCCATTTAAATGGATCCCACACAGTATCCTCTCCTTTCTCAGGTCACATGGGACAGCAGCCCTGCTCCCATTGGCCCGTTTGGATAACTGTCCATTTAGATCTCTGCAACCAGCTGGAACTGAGCAGGAAACGCTGGTTTCACAGCAAACTGCCCTCAGAGCTTTGTTCAGCCCGGTTCACCCTGGGTTAGCATGGTTTAGTCCAGTTCAGGTTTAGCCCGGTTCAGCCTGGGTTAGCCTGGGTTATCCCAGTTTAGCCTGTTTCAAGGTTAGGGTTAGCTTGGTTCAGCATGGGTTAGCCCAGTTCAGCCTGGTTTGGCCTGGGTTAGCCTGGTTTAGCATGGTTTAGTCCAGTTCAGGGTTAGCCCGGTTCAGCCTGGGTTATCCCGGTTCAGCATGGGTTAGCCCGGTTCAGCCTGGGTTAGCCTGGTTTAGTCCAGTTCAGGTTTAGCCCGGTTCATCCTGGTTCAGCTCGGTTTTAGCCGCAGCGGGTTAGGGTTAGGGTTAGGTTTAGGGTTAGGGTTACCTGCTGGAGGATGCGGCTGGTGGAAGTGAAGCGGTGCAGGTGCTCCTTTATCAGGGTTAGGGTTAGGGTTAGGGTCAGGGTTAGGGTTAGGGTTAGGGTCAGGGTTAGGGTTAGGGTCGGGGTTAGGGTTAGGGTCAGGGTTAGGGTTAGGGTTAGGGTCAGGGTTAGGGTTAGGGTTAGGGTTACCTGCTGGAGGATGCGGCTGGTGGAAGTGAAGCGGTGCAGGTGTTCGTTTATCAGCTTGTGGGAGATGTCGCAGATCTCCTGATCAGGGAAACCCTGGATGGGATAAACCTGATAGATAGATAGATAGATAGATAGATAGATAGATAGATA